TATCTGTGAGGTTCCACTTTGTGCCTGTTGTGAAAGTGTGAGCATGAACAGATAACCCCTAATGTCTTGATGGATGTCCAGGCCAGGTCATTTCTGGAGATGGACAAAGTTGAAACAACTCATTCATTGCCATGATCTCTGTAGACACGCACTCCCTTGTATATGTGTACCTGATTGTGTTTTTGTTTGGCTCTCTGGCTAGATAAGTTATCTGCAGGTACATTTTGGTAGGTATAATTACACACACAAGTGTAAGGTGATGTACGCCAGAGACGGGGGAGGCAAATTCTTTGGGGAATGTGCTAAAAATAGCTAGTTGCTGAAGCTGATTCATCAGCTGTCCTTTCTTCCGCCTCTTCTTGAACCCTTCCTCAGTTGAAGATGTTTTTATATGAAGACAGGAAGAACTGGTATAACAAACAAAAAAAAGAACTCCGACAATTTTTGTGAGTTTGCCATTACAATATATTTTTGTAGGATTTTTCAGATGAGTCCAGAATGTTTCTGAAATTTTGATAAGTCCAATTACAAAGAGATATAGTGGGTCCATAAAATATGAGTCCCACAGGAAAATCATGAGTGTGGGACTCAAATATCAAAGTCCCAGTAGTCACTGCATTGTGTCTTCTCCTGTAGTTCATTTGTATGTCTACTGATCAAGTATATCTGTGTATAATTACAAGCATTGTTATCATTTAACAGATGTTTTTCTTAAACATTGTGTCTGGTATACGGGATAGCCTTGAATAGATGTAGTCGACTCTAAAGTTGATCAACATCATAATGCAATGTTCGATATACATTTTGTCACAACAGCTGGTCTTATATCCTTCCAATTATGTAATTTGTTGTTTTAACGCCATCAATGTATGTTGTTTCAATGTATACAGACATACCAACAATATGATGACTTTATGAATTAATCTATGATCAATTGAGTTTTTTTGAATTATGATATGGATTTATATTCTCTATACATGAAACTTTTTGTAATTTCTTGTTTTCCTCGACAGCTGCAGTGGCAACATGCGATGTGAACACTTTTTAATGCTGCCAAATTTATAAGAAAAACTAGGCAGCTGTCTAAATGCACTGATGTACATGTAGTAAATCATGTTCATAAATTCCTGTATAATATTGGAGTGTTGACGTTAGAAAATTACAAATGTACCTTGACAAGAATTCACAATAAAAGAATTCCTCCGTGCCAAAATGTTTAAAGTTGGTGCTCAAACCGACACTGGCGTCACGGAAGAATCATAATGTGGGTGTAAAATATATGTAATCGTAACTGAGGATTGGCAGGAGCAAAACAGGTATGTTTCTTCTGACGTTGATAAAAATACCAGGGCTTGCTAAAAATGCTTGTATTGTGGGTTTCAAATTTTCTATTTATACCAGATATTTATAGTTGTTTTATGTGAATGCTTTTTTTTTTCTTAAAAATATATTCCTGTATTCTAGGTTTTTCGTTAAAATAAATTTCATACAGAAATGATTGATATAGGGAAGTTATAGCGAGATGAGGGAAGAGATTAAAGATTTTCTGATGAAATCTAGAGTAGAAAATGGCCACAGTTAATAAAACTGCATAATTATAAATGACAATTATAGGTAAATATATCTGAAGCTTTTAGTCACACAATGATCCTGTGATCTGCATATCAAGCTGTTTTAGCCTTTCTGACCTACAAACAAGGTTCGATATTGACTATGCTATTTGGGCTTTAAATCTACATATAGATTTTCCAGAAAGTTCATGTACATATATACACTTATGGATATTAACTACACAAATGATTCGGTAAATATCATCCTGGTACATGTGTATTGATAGTGTTTTATGGAATAATCTTGATTGACACAACTGGGGAGGAAAAACTGCTCACCTCGCAGGTATATATAATTTCTCTATTAAAATTTCAGGTCTTTGTTAACGAGTATTACATTGAGTTTCATGTTCTCCATGTTAGCCTGACACGAACTACCCTGAACATAATCCTATCTCCTACAAGTGTGGGAGGTGTAATGTGTTGGAACAAGAAGAAGGGACAGATATAACTATGTTTAGTGTACAGGGTTTAAGTCTTTGTTTTCACAGATAAAACTCCTGCAGTCATCATGATCATTAAACATGCTAAGTGTCTACTCTGGAAATACACTCACTATAAATAACTGCTTTAAGAATGACAATTAGTTATACCAGCAAAGCCAAATCTAGACAGATTTCAGTGAATGGAGGGTAGGTTGGGGTAATAGACTATAATATATGTTTGATTTGATCATGGCAATTTGTCAAAAATAACTCAGAGTTGTTCAAGCTTTATAATTACGTATACCAATGTACTCTATATAATCTTCTGCTCAAGAACAAACATGCACATTTCTAGAACCTCTTAGCTGTTGATAAAAATAGATTTCTTGGAAAACCATACATGAAAGATCACATGACCTGTTTTTGTACAGTAAATACATGCATATGTAATCTATCTACCCTAACCTGCCTACACATTTTTTGTTGGACAGCATTCATTCCACTTCAAACACAAAACACAGGATAGAATGTTTGGTAAGAATTGTTTCTGTTAAACTTTGATATTTGAGGAATTCTTGTGATTGTGTACATTGATTGCTTTTATGTAGAAAAATGACTATGATGTTGATGTTTGATCATACTTTGTATCTTAAGTATTAGCTGCTATAGGCTTTTACTGGTAAAGTGGTCCCAGCTTCATAGATGGTTCTTAATACTTGAAATTTTCCACAGGAAAACACTATGTAGTAATTAAAATTCCTAAACTGAGATATTTTTTCTAAACTGCGATGATGCTTTTTGTCAAGGTTGTCAAACTTAATTCAGGAAATTTTCATAGCAGAAGAATGTTCAGGAAACTTGCAGGACCCAGGAATGAAGGAAGTAATATATTTTAAACATGCAACTATACTTTGAGTGAGTTTGAGAGACTTGTCAAAGTCTTTATTCATTAGTAAACTGAATCTTTATCTCTTCAAATGAAAGCTTAAAATTTTAACATCTGACAATACCATGGGCAATCTTAGACAAAAAAAATTAATATGATATCAGCTATGGCGTTTTTTATTTTCACACCAAATTTGTTCTACATATGAGTATGTACATGCAGTACTAGGTTAAAAGAAGAGACATTCTTATAACACAACCAGTAAAAGATTTGAGTGTTTTGATGACTACACCGTCACCTTCATCAGACAAACGACCAGTGTGGATCATACTAACACTGACATACATAGTGTACGAGATGGTAACTGTATATAAGGAATTGACCAACGTTTTTCGTCTGTACGATAATCTTATGTACACTTAATCTTCAAAACGTCACACTGATTTGGTTGTGTTGTAAAAACTTCTATTCTTTTGACATATACTAACGATACCAGAACACTGACATTCATCAGTAAGACAACATCTAGAAATAGGAAGAGTCACATTGACAACCTGAAGAAAATGTTCCAAAGTATTGGATGCATATTGTGAAAGCTACTGATTAAAATGGATTGTGTCCCTTCAAAACCTTTACTTAAGACATGGTCAAGGAGATCTTTATGAGACTCAAAATTTTGGTACCCCAGGTACATTAATGTATATCTGTTTCAAATTAAGTTCCATCTTACGTAGAGGTATAAAAGCTGGTTGAATAATTCAGCACGACATTTTGGAAGAAATTTAATTTGTTTTGGATCTTCTGTTAGCTAGCCGTTCTATTCTGCCTCTAGCTGTTTGAAATCATGTTGTGGTATCCAGAAGAAAGCTTATTGTTTGTGCTTAATGATGAAGTGAAATAACTTGGAATGATGTAATTATAACAGAACTGATCTTTGTCATGGACAGGATTTCCTGTGACAGTCCCACTAAGCATTCTGATTATATTACATACTACAGGTGCTTTATATATAAAGGACCAACACAAACTTTTGCCAATTGGAATTACATTGTATATATTTGTATACTAGGGGGACTTTCATGTGTTTCTGTAAAATTGTATATATCTGTATTTAAAAGTGAAGTCATCTGCTGTTTGTGGGGTTAACACCTATCAAACAGAATACCTGGTGTGTGACATATGATTTATTGGATTAGACAGGGTGTCTGTGTTGTAAATATTTGGTAGTATATATGAAAATATCATTATAGTAATTACTTGGTCAATGATCACTATTGGTGAAATATACAGGTTTTAGACCAGTTGATACACTGTACTACTATTCCAAAACGCTTCTTTTTTTATCAATGTTCTTTCTGCATATGTATATGGACCAATGTTGACTCAAAGACTGTATGTGGCCCATTGACTTACAGACTTTGTATGTGGACCATTGTTGACTCACAGACTGTGAATGTGGACCATTGACTTACAGACTGTGTATGTGGACCATTGTTGACTCAAAGACTGTGAATGTGGACCTTTGACTTACAGACTGTGTATGTGGACCATTGTTGACTCAAAGACTGTGAATGTGGACCATTGACTTACAGACTGTGAATATGGACCACTGACTCACAGACTGTGTATATGGACCACTGACTCACAGACTGTGTATATGGACCACTGACTCACAGACTTGACTTGATATGTTGTAGCTTTTAAAATTATATCAAGACATTCTTTTTAATTTGGACAAAATTAACCGTTTCTTTAAGTGTGAGTTTAAATGTTAGAGCATTACTGTGTTCTGATAGGATTTATATAGTTTATTTGACTAAAGTTGTGTCAGAAAACCACAAGTGAATTATCTACATGGATGTAATTGAGGTATCACCTTTCTATGGTAAATCTGGAGTGTCAAGTAATTTCATTAAAATGTCGCCTGTCCTTTGATATGAAGTAAAATGATATGCAAACAGAAGATAAACTACTTGATATGCATATATAATGACAGCTTTCTCTTTAGGTGAACACTTGGCTGTTGTGCCAGTGTGTGATAATGACAACCTCAATACATTTGTGTTTGTTTATTTGCAGGTATTGACATCCAAAGCTAAAGAGTCAAGAGAGTACTGGACCAGGGGATAGTCGAACCCCATAATACATCATGGTCGACTATTACAAAGTTCTTGGGGTACCAAAAGAGGCCTCCGTGGCAGAATTAAAAAAAGCGTAAGTTTTAAGTTTTTTCCAACCTCTTCTGGTGAAACAGGAGGAGTATGGGAGTTGACTATAATTTTCTTTTCTGTCCGTCCATATGTGTACATATGTATGTGGTATAGGTGGATCCCTGCCCCTTGAGGCGGGAGGGGTGAGCCTCCATTGGGAAATGTATGTAAGTTCTTGAAATTCCTTCTTCTTGACAAGGATATTGTCCAAGTTTGGGTCTGAAACAGTTTTTTTGAATTACTGTTTGACCATAAGGCTGTGACCTATTGGGGAATTTCAAAAAGATTTGTCATATCTGAAATTATTTGATGTCTGGATAGCTGAATTAGGTGGATGAGCAATCTTGCAGGCCCGTTAGACCACTTGTTTGATATTAATTTAAGAAATTGCATCAGAATATGGTACATATATTCTAGCCCCTAGAAAGGAAAAGAAAGAATGGAAAAGATGACAACATTTCTAAAGATTTTCTTCAGTTAAAAATACAACAACACAGCAACATGAAATCAAAAACAAAACCCTAAAATCCTGTATATAGTAGAGAGATCTTGGTCTTAGAGCAGAAATGTAAGCCTGTTGAGGAATTCAATGTTTACTTTTAGTGTTAGATGGAAATTGTGTGGTCTTGTTATAGAATACTCTCAGCAGACTTGATAGGAAAGGTTTTACATGATAAAGTCAGTAAGATTATGTTGAAGGTAAATATGTGTTTATTACACTACATCCCTGTAATAAATGTGTCTTTAAAACGCCAAAGATTATGATATAAAATCAGTTTATTGTACTAAAAGTTCTACAGCTTGTGACTGTAATTATTAATCACGACTTTGAGCCACCATCTAATAAGTATTTCATTCAGTTCTTTCTGTAATTTTTTCATGGCGATGACTCCTTCAGAACAACAGAAATAAACTTAAAAATTATTTGAAAATACCGTATTAACCAAAATTGGATTCATCAGTTCTGCTGGATCAACATATGTCTACTGTGGGTTTCATTGAGGCAAAAGACACTCTTTTTTAACACCTGGTCTTGTTCTCCTTGTATATTTTCGAGGACATTCATTTTAAATTTTGTTCTCCTTTCATTGATTTTGAATGACTGCTTTGAATAAGCGTTATTACCATGTTGTTATTTTAAATATGTTGAACATTTCAATGTAGACTACATGTGCCAGCAGGGCAGCCGTTATACTTCCTGTTGAGGACTAATCACTTTCACACCCTTGTAGTATAAAACTGGATTTCCTATGACACACATGGCTGTCTAGAGTTTAAAAGTGGATTTAAATTACAATATCCTAAAGTTGTATTGGTAATAACATAGTTTCACTTTCAGATGGATGTAATATGTCCTGTTTAATTTCCTGGCTGCTCTAGTTTTATCAGCCCATGATATTTATACTAGAATTAAACCTTGTGCTAAAGCCCTTCTCTGGTATGTTAGTGGAGTATCACAGCAGACTTATTACAGATATCTTTGTCAGTATATGTTGATAAATTTGTGTTACTGCAGCGTAATGTTTACTTGTAAGACCACCATTTGATAAATGTGGTATTGAGCTCCAAAATAGGCTATTCCTGTCATGTAGACATGAGCACATTTATCAAATCAATACACCATGATGTGTTTATCTCCAGGTTGTTACAGATAGGTTAAATCCATTTTGTTTTGTCATTTCCCAGTTCAGAAAAATTTCCAAGTCAACATAAATCATATTGAATTTAAATTATTGGCAACCATGTAATGATTATTTACTTCAGTGTTGGTTCTCATATGGCCTTGCTCTTCCTATGTCCTAATCAGGGGAGATAATGCTACATTGAGATTTACTAAGCTAACACAGGGATTTAAGTATAGATACATTATATTTCGTTACATTACAGAAAAACTTACATAAGAAAATAAAACAGCATGTTTTGTAATTCTGATGCAATGCAGGCTACTTGCATGCCTGCTTGCTTCATATGGGTTGCATAATGATGATTAAGATATCTGACTGGAATGACTGGTGTACTTTTGTAACAAAATATTTGGCAGATATTTTGTGCAGTATATTCCTTTGTTTACATCAGTGACAAATTTGGACTTGGCTTATCGACTGTCTAAACATTAAATGTTATACAATGTGTTATCAATACCAATTACCAGTAAACTATACTTAACAAATGATCACCTGACTTAACAGGTCTAATAAGACACCCCAAGGGACCAGTCAATAAGTATCTTATTAGACAAGTGTCTTTTTGTACAGGTGATCATGTGATCTCATAAGATGGAAATAAGTGGAAGACATGAATACTAAAGTTATAATTATTACTGAAATGAAAAACAATGATACAAGATTGACATACAATTGAATTGCCACTTTTGATACCAATTTCTATCTAAAATTGACAAAATACAATTAAGATACATGTTTATGCTCACTCTTTTTTTTTTCTTTTTTTTTTGTTTTAAAAATTTGAAAATAAAATCACAAAGAATATCAATAAAATGTTATTGAGATTGATATATTTCCATATATATATGATAGGTCAACGTACAGTTTGTTTAAATATCTAAATTATTTAAAGTATCAGAAAGGAAGTCCAAGTATGCACCATGTATAAATTCTATCACATTACTTTCTACGTCTCCTCTCTCTCCATTCTGTGGCTAAAACACGATATTGTTGTGTCCCAAACACAATATTGTTTCACTTCACGTGGCTCTCGAGCCTCCCATTTGATGCCTTGAATGTTGTGATGCCTAAAATGCTCCGCATAGTTTAGCGTTGTTGTCTGAAGTAACAGACCTGAAACAATGATCGACAAGCCATGGTGTCTTTAAACCACTGAAGGCAGATTGTTTCAGGTTTCTGGTTATATGCTGCTTTTGTTTAAATGATGAGGGTCATGTATCTCATAATCATTTAGAATTTCCACTTTTCTTTTTTCAATGTACTGAATTATAGTCCTTCCTACTTTGAAATCTTCAGCAATTTTCATGGCAGTACAGGCTGTCAACTGATTCCTATATTTTTCTATATTTTGGTTCAAAAACCTATATTTTGAAAAAACTCCTATATTTTCCTATTGTTTTGAAAAATATTTCTAGATTTTTCAGGAAATTTGTCGCTGATCAATATAGAGATTGTAAATATTTCTTTGATATGGCTTTTGGCTCCTTTATCTTACAGGTTAGAGAATTCTTAAGTCTTTAACAGTATCACCAGCCACCAGCAAATGATTCAGTGCATCTCTTTATCACCTGTATGGACACCTTACAAGGCAGTAAAACAGGATATTGGCCTTTTAGGTGCCCATTTAGATGATGATGAGCTATGCAACAGCTCTCTGCCAGGATTGTGATGCTGTTGAAGTGAATGGTTTCTTTAAGGTAGTTTTTGATCATTGATTAATATAGAAACAGTAAGTGTATGTAAGAATTGTTAGTATAAATGCCTTTGAATGAAACAAATTTTGTTTGGAAAACTGCTATATTTTGCATCAAAATTAGTAAAAAAAACTCCTATATTTTGCCTCAAAACTAGCAGAAAACTCCTATATTTGTTGAAAAAATATTCCTATATTCCTCCCATATTTTGAAGAAGACTTGGTTCACAGTCTGGGCAGTATCACCACTCTTAGGTCGTTTTACAACTTTGACTCTGTTTCTAAATTAATTCTGTTCATTTTGGAAGCCATGTTGGTTGTTGTTATTAACACTAATCAGCTATTGAGACATTTCGCAAAATGTTGTTGTGAACGTGAATGTGTATAACAAATTTTAGAGGCAAATTCAAATGATGAAAGTTACCATGTTGACGAGGTCCAAGGTAATAAAGAATGGAAAACATCATTAGTCTGCAAACAGTTGTATCAGACGCATTGTCAAAACCATTTGCAATCTTATTGATAAAAGGTTGCATAACAAGTTTCAGGAAAGTATTCATATTTATTCAAATTATCATATTCACAAGGTCCACTGAAAACAGACAAAGAATGATTGCTATCGGTAATCATCACCTATTGTCAAAATTTAAAAAATCAAAGATGTTTTACATACTGGTAAGTTTAATGAAAAGTTCAGAGATTTAGTTTGATTTCTTATAAAATGAGATAATTAATTTGTAAGGGATTTCATTGGAATAACAAAGCCTTAAATTATATTGTTACAGAATTTAAATGTTGGGAAGAAATTCTAAAACCACACTAGAATGTTATCTGAAAACTAACATTCTGCATATCTTGTGAATGGGTTTGTACATTCCCTCTTAACGACCCCTGTTGTCTTGTGAGAGTTTGGCACTGTTCCGGAGTCTGAGGCTAGCAACCTCAATATACAGTGTCATCAACTAAAAATTTGAGAAATGTTCAGGTTTTTAACACTTGATTGATGAGTAATAAGATATTTTATAAGGTTTTCTTCCTTGCTTTTTCATTGATGTACATGATTCAGTTATTTAGGGAATTACAACTTAAGTGAATCAAAGAATGGAAGGCTTTTATAAATAGGATCTGAATTCTGATGCTGTCAGTTATCCAGAAATGAAATATCAGAACATTTATGGGATTAAGAAACAATGCAAGAATGTTCCAAAATCATTTGAAATTCCTCAGCTGTCTTAATTCCTTACAGTTTTTATTTGAAAATTTTTCTTTTTCCAGAAATATTCGAGAATGAATTAACCTTACCTGGAATTTTTGGGTTTGTCATTTACATTGACAGGAATATCTAACTGATCAGTTGTTAATGTATAAAGTACACACCAACATATAGGCTTAACTTACGATGGTCCCTCTTATGATCATCTGAAGGTCATCAATATCATAAGGAAGTGAATATGACAGGTCATCCTAGTATAGTTAAAACAGGGTTTGAAGTAGGAAAAATTCACCACCATTGAACGTCAAAACAAAACCATGAAATTTAATGTTTAGTGTTATCATTTTGTTGAGTTTTCTTCTTACAGATGTCTAGGTGTATCAACACTGAGGATTTTTGTACATAGTTATAAATACATATATAAGTGTGTTAAAAAAACTTCCTCCGAACGTATCAGGGGGATAAATCCAATGATTACAGACACATTATATACAATTTCAGTATTTCACTTTCTGGATGTTAACATAACAGGAGTCAGAATAAACTCAATAAATATCGAATCTACGTAACTGACTTGGATGTGAGCCAATTGAGTTGTAGGTTTTGAATCATTCACGTATAGTTGCAATTTAAGACGTTAAAACATCTTGTCAGTTATTGATAAATTCTGCTGCTATTTTCCCTATAGTCTGTTGTACATTATCTTCATCGCTACGCAAATAGGATCTTAAAATACATTTGTTTACGTAGGCTTCAGAACTTTCTCTTTTTTTAGAATTTTAGGAAAAACAAGTGTCTGGATATATATATTTACATTTATGAAGCACAGAAAATCCCGATTTTCTTTCTTGTCTTTAAATTTTGCACGGCTGCACATGAGTCTTAGTAGCTTAGTACTAAAATAAAAATAAATCATTTCTGCTTTACAATTCTACAGATGTTATGAAAACTAAAAACATGATCCTTATATCTGTTACATGTATTACTGGAAAGGTTGCTGTGGATGAGATTGGGCAATTAAAAACTGGGTTTCTGTTTTATTTGTGATTACAACACCTGTTTTTCATGCCAATTAAAAGTCACCATATTCTTCTGGTAGTGATCCTAAAAAATAACTATGTTAATAAGAGTAGCTTTGTTTATAACTATAAAATGTATGATAAAGCATCTGTAACCTCTCAGGATAGTCTGAGGTGCAGTTTGATGGTTTGTTTTTCTCGGGAAGCTGAGGAGCAGACTAGTCTGTCATTGTTTTGTCTTTGTTTTTACTCTTATTGCTCTCAGGATGGCATGCAGGATATTAATGAAACATTTTCTTTCAAACAGATAATATAAGACATTTGATGAAGAGCTGTATCTTTATTGCAATGACTGGTGTATATATAATGCATGTCAAATGCAGATTTGTTCCTTGTCTTCTGTAAAACATATTTGTAATGATCTGATACTTTTACAGGGTTTTGTGTCCTAATCTTATATACTCATTGTCTGTTATCGTTTTTAATTAGAAATGGAACTTGCAGTTGAATTATCCTTTTTTGTATGTTTTGACAGTTACAGAAAACTAGCTCTCAAATGGCATCCGGACAAAAACCCAGACAGAAAGGAGGAGGCCGAAAAAAAATTCAAAGAAATATCAGAGGCTTATGAAGTATTATCAGATGGTAAGTATAAATGCTTCAGAGTTGTATTTTTCTTCATTATGTTGTACATGCAGGATTTGATTAAACTGTCTTTTGTAAAAAAAAATAATAAAAATAGAAATTACAAATTGATTGATGTCAATTTCTTGATCATCAGTTAATGTGTTAACTTAGAAAGTGTTCTGGGTGCTTTACAGTGATGTCCTCAATGTAGAATGAGATGTTTACACCTGAGAACAGATCACAAACACTGATATGTTACGGAGATATTCTTATAACTGATTTCTTAGAGGAAATTAGTCTTTATTAATGGACAAAAAATCATAATATATATCTTCATGGAGTGGGGAAATGTACTTTTGTTTTTATTTTTGTATAAATGGACAAATTTGTTTTTATTTCTGTATAAATGGACATGTTTGTTTTTATTTCTGTATAAATGGACAAATTTGTTTTTATTTCTGTATAAATGGACATGTTTGTTTTTATTTCTGTATAAATGAACAAATTTGTTTTTATTTCTGTATAAATGGACAAATTTGTTTTTATTTCTGTATAAATGGACAAATTTGTTTTTATTTTTATATTGATATAAAGATGTCATAGATTTTGACATTGCAGGGAGGACCAGGGATAGACTTCAATATAATTCAATGGTTTGATTATCAGAAATAGAACTGAAATGTTGTTAGACATATAAATCATAGAATGTTTGTTTTTCAGAGGAGAAAAGGGGTATATATGACAAATATGGTAAAGAAGGTCTGCAAGGACACTATCATAACGGAAATGATTTTGATAGGGGTGGTAGCTTTAGTGGATTCCATGGATTCCAATTCCGTGATCCTGAAGATGTATTCCGGGAGTTCTTTGGAGGCAGAGATCCATTCGCTTCATTTTTCGGAGGTAAGTCGGAAAAAGATTACATCAAATTGTGTTTATCTGATTCATTTGGCCCTATTTAAGGTTGTCAAGAAATCCCAACATCTAGCTGTTGTTAAGAAGTTTGAACTAAAACTTTTTGGTATCATCTTGACAGCTAGACATTGGTGAAGGTAGTAGTGTGAATGATAAGTTCTAAATGATATAAGCGAAGAAGAGTTACTCCCCTTCCGTATAGTCATGTTTTACACAGAAAGAAGAGTTATGACCCTTTATACTTTTGGCATTACTAGTGATTAGTGTGGTAGGCTGTTACTGTGTCTACAGTGATATATATATATATAATTGTTGTTATGTGTGTATAGGAATTACACATCAGGTGTCTGACCAGCTGCTGTTGTTTGTGTTCGTTAGTTTAGTTTATGTGGCAGAATCTTTATCTTGTATACTAGGTTCTTTAGATATCTACTAAATGTGCTGCTCCTAAATTACTATTTCTTCTTAATGTAATACCATCAGTGATTAATTATTTCAAAACAGATTACTTGGTGCAAGTATCATAGAAATGTATGAAAGATATCAGAATTGCCTTGTATGTTCAAAATGCTGTCGAGAATGTGAAGATCTTTAATATAATGTAATAAAAGAATGAAAGGAACATTGTTAAACGTACTTAAAGAAATAAACAAGAATGCAAGAAACTAGACTGTGAAGGTCAAAGGTCAAGGATCTGTTATTACATTGTATTGGTGCCAGTTAAATATTGTTTTTCAGAAGCTCAGCTGATCAGCCATTGATAAATACGATAGTTGTTTACATTTTAGTTATTTATAAACTACCAAGAGAAAGGTCATTTGAAGGTCACAAAACTAAACTGTCTTTTAAATACAGTTTAGTTGATAACTGGAAAATCAGAGTAGTTCATTTTAAAAAATGCAGGTTGAAGGGGAAGGTCACATTTTAAGGTCATTCAAGGTCGTGATTTTGAAGAAATTTCAATACAATGTTTGTGTTTTAAGTCAGTTTTTAGTTCTTGTTTTACTATGTGGTATATGGAACCATTTTATACATAACTCCTAAGTGTTGGTGCCTGTGAAGGGATTCACACATTATACATTATAGTAGAAGCAAACTTCTCCTGTAATCATTTCCATGTGTGTAAACTGGAGTTGGACATTGCTGTCTACAGTACAGATTGTGTACACATGCAGCTACAGTGTAAAACAGGTCTTCTTCCTATAGCTATGTTTCAGGCATATCTCCATTTATCAAACTTAAATTTATTTCAGTTTCATTTCATTCACTTTAATTCATTTGACTTTTATTTTCACATTTGAGAAGAATTTTAAGCTTATATTCAAATTATAAAAAATATCTCAAATGTTACTTTTTAAGTTTTAATTTTCTACTCTATCGTATTTCTGTTTATAATCATGTTGCTTATTGTCACTTTTATGTTTAATATCATGCTGATCTCATATTTCCATAAAACTGTACTTCATGTAATTGGTTTGCTTTATATAATTTGATTGACTTATTTCAGTCTTATTGAGTCATAAATATTTAGATATACTTAGTAATATTTGTATTTATTCACAGTGAGAAAATTGTTTATTTGGTAAAAAACTATTGATAAGACATTAGTGCATGCAAAACATGTAGGAAATTAACATGAAACTAGCAGAAATTTATCCTACAGTCCATACACAATATTACCAGTGTTTGTCCATGCATGACAAAATTATCATAAATATTTATTTGGTCTTAATATTGGAATGTAGCAGTGTTCATTTGTATGAAAAAATAGCTGATGTATACAAACACTCCTGATGAATTTGGTAATTAACAATATGAGAGTTCAGTACAATCAATAACAACAGAATTGCTAAAAAATTGATGTGTGTTTGGAAAGTACTATTTTAGAATATTGAAGTAGATAGATGGACATTCAGAGCAAGTAACAACATATATATATCTTATTATCTATTGTCTTACAGTGTATATTAATCATCACTTTCACAAAAAATAGATAATTTATTTTGAATTTTGACATCTTTTTTTTTAAAACATTTATTATTACATGTTCATCTTAAATTACATTCTTTAAACTTTTCAGTATTCTAAAAGTGCCAATAATGAAAGAAAACTGAAACAAAATATTAAGATCTTAAGATAATTTTTAAGTGAACGTACACATATTGAAAATTTAGAAAACCTTTAAGTTTATTATTATGAAAATAGCTACCTTACTACATGTAATTGACTAATTCCTTCCACCAGTGTTTGTTAATTTACATTTAGTCCAGCCTGAGCTCTCTAGAGCTTGACATGATTACAAATGGGCTGTGAATTCCCCACCAGCTGACACTCAGCCGTACATCCTTGTGTTTCCATGGTTAAATTGGTACTGATTTGCGTACTTATATTTATGCATGTGTTTGGAGCCTAACACATTTCTCTGTTCTCCCTAGGTCCAGGCGGTGGTTCCAACATGTTTCAAAATTCTTTTACAGGATTTCCATCTTTCGCTTCTTCCTCTCAATTCTTCTCCGACGACTCCTTCAACTCAGACTCTGGGTAAGTAAGATTGTATTGGAATTTTCAGCAAACCCGAAACTACAAAGTGCAAAACTATTGAAATCTGCTGGTCCAGATTCCTATAAAGCAAGGTGTCTTCTCTGGCAAACAAGATGGGTCTAAGTTGAAACTCAGTAACTAAATTGAAGATTAATAAGACCATATTTCTTTATCAGGATTAATTAATGAGCTTTGATTTATGAAGACTACTTGATTACAAAATATATGGGTCACATGACTGGGCGGGATATTTAGGCAGGCAGATGGCATGATTGTCTTTTGTGTCAACATACTGTTGCATTTCATGAAAAAAAAAGAATACTGTAAAAAAAAAAATTCTCTACATTAATGTGTATGTAGTCTGATGCAATAATCAAACACACGGCAGTAATGATGTAAAGTCGTAAGTGTTGGTGGACCTCAAATTTTGTGGTTAAGAAAAAAACATGGACTCTTGATTCCATGAATATATAGCACATCCTATTTCCATTGGTAGTACTTCAGATATCCATAGATAGTAATTGAGATATCTATTGATAGTAATTGAGCTATCCATTGATAGTACTTAGATATCATTGATAGTACTTCAGATATCATTGATAGTACTGAGATATCATTGATAGTACTTCAGATATCATTGATAGAACTTGAGATATCATAGATATTACTGAGATATACATTGATAGAACTTCAGATATCCATTGATAGAACTTCAGATATCCATTGATAGAACTTCAGATATACATTGATAGAACTTCAGATATCATTGATAGTACTTCAGATATACATTGATAGTACTTTAGATATACATTGGTAGTACTTCACCCATCAAAACTGGCTTTAGATCCACTGTGATCATGAAATCATGAATTAATATCTCCAACGAAATCATAAAAAAGAAATCCCCGATGAGGTTAACCATTTGCAGTATGTCTAGATATCCTCTGCTTGGGGTCTAGTCTGAAAAACTCCAGTCGATTCACCAGATATAATTGACTTGCTTGGAAACAACTCTTATAACAGCTACTCTGCTTAAATAGTGGAAAGTTGGGTATTAATTTCAATGTCTTTGAGAATATTTTACTGTCAACATTTTCTATAAAATTCTCATAAAAAGATTGAAGGTTTACAGTATTCTTTTTTAGTATAAAAATGTTTCAAAATTTTGCTGATTTGCTATAATATGAATGCTTCAGTGTTGATTGTTGTACATCTATGTTCTGCATAACACAGGGTTTTAGATTATAAATTGACAAGTGAAATTATAAATTAAATTGTACATTGCAAAAATAATCATAAAAATTCAAAATTTGTATATTTTTTAAAAAGAAAATTTAATTGAAATTTGTGGTTTTTTTCATTACAACATACTTTGGAATGATGCAGAAAAAAAATATGTATGAAATAAAACCCTGATATATATATTGTTTTGTGAATTACTGTTGAAAATTATAATTTTACATGTGTGTATATGTAATATGAATTCCTCTCACACAATAGACATTACATTTGTGTACAAGCATGTAATGATTTAGCATATTTTTTACATTATAACCCAAAATAACAGTTTAGATGAAGAAATTCAGTGATCACTGCTTCATACTAACTAGTAAGCCCAGTTGTTCAAAACCAATTATTTTTCACTGCAGAAGTCTTTGATATAGTGTCAATTTTAATGCAATCAGTTGTTCTATTGGTGAATTTGTGAAAGGAATTAATAGTCATTGTTCTGGAAAAAACATCAGATAAAACCAAAATAAGAAGGAAATCAGGAGAAAATTTTCTGCTGAATAAGTTTTCAATGACTGGAGCTCAGTAACCGTTAACTGATTTCATGTTTCAGCTGATTAACTCTTGAAGTCTTTGGTTTATATAACTATTAACACCATTATAACAACTATAGGCCTAATACTGAACTGCTATAGTAACCCTGCAGTAGTTTACTGGAATGATTAATTACACTATTTCTTGTCAAAAAAGATTTCTCTTTGATAATTAGTCCCCAATTGACTCCAGCTTTTTCAGTCAGATAAAAGTTGAAGTCATATATAGGGTTTAGTACTGTAACCAGAGCTGGTGTATTCTGTTTTATTGGTCCTGGCCTTGTTATACTTAACTGAACTATTCAGTAATTTGACTAGGCTTAAAAAAACAAACAATTTGCAACATTGAATAAGTTTCCTTAAGACATGTTCAGATAGTTTAATAAAGACAGTGTATCACAGAATTGACATATCCATCATGTCCGAAATCAAGGTCAACTCTTATAATTATATCACTGTCATAGATACATCTTCTTGTACCTATTTAATTAAGTGGAATATTCATCTAAAAATGTCTGGCAGACATATATAGCCATTCTAGCCCTATGAACATCCAGTTAATAATGCATTGATTTGTTATATTTAGTTAGGGTAAAGGATACCACAGAAGTCCATTCCACTGATCACAAACCTAGGAGTTTTACTCATGGTGTTTATACTTCCCATCAGATAGCTCTAATTCCCCTTTTATTTTGATGCTGTGAGATTACATTTCCTAGATAGTACCATCTTCTGGGAAGCGGGTTCGTCTCCTTTTCATCCTCCAATTTTTATTTTAAGGTAATCATAAATTTTAACAGACTCCAGAGAAATCTGTTACATCTGTTGGAAAATGTGTTTGACTGAAGCAAAAATTTCTGAATACTATAATTCACGGTACTCTGTACCTAAATAGATGCATGTTTTTACCATTGCCCTGTTTAGCAGCTCGTTGACACAGGGCTGTACATGTGTTCTGTGTCTTGTTTGGACTTAAGAATTTGAAACTAGATGCCAGGCTTCTTAAAAAGGACAAGTTTATTATCTAGCTCATAGTGTGTGCTTACAGAATTGTGGTCTGGTAACAACAACTGACCTTATTAATATCATGCCTTCTGATTGGCTAAGCCTACATGTCACATGACCAGTCATCAGCCATCTGCACTCAGCACAATAATTTCCATTCATTGGTTTTATAATAATTAAATCATGGGAGTTTTGATTTTTTTTCTTTTTTTAAATCATGCACTGTTACTTGTCAATTTTTAGCTGTGGTTTATTGATATATTTGTCGTTTTTATTTATAAGCATCTGTAAATGTTTCAGTTTATTTTCTGCAAATAAAGAATGCTTTAATAGGTCACATACCAGTTTAAAATTTCTGATCTTCTATTGATGTAATTTATGTTTATAGTAGTAACTTGTATTTTGCGACATCAGATTAAGTGTTTGTATACTTAACTGATATTTACACAGTGAAACACTTGTCTGGGTATTTATTGTATACTTGAGACTGTTTTGTGGTTGTACACATATTGAGCATAAATTTAGGTTCAATGACCGTAACATATTTTAACTTTCTTACAGCATTATAGCTAGTTCAAGACATACCTTATGACCGTAAGAATATATACAGACAATTTACTTTGAATAAAATATATCTTTAGTAAAAAACAAAAATTTTATCTTTTAAGATCTACAAATTTCCTTTAAATAATTTATCTCAATCATACTTTCATTTTCTGTGACTGATCATTTCTTTTATTGATTAAAACTTATTAATATTGAAATAAGCAAAATAACAAGATATGAATCCTCAAGTAGATTATACATTTTTTTCGGCAAAATCATGAAAATATTCCAATGGTACATGTATTCTAATTATCTGTCTACAATGAAGTTCATATATGAAAAAGTAGCCATATTTACAATTATATTTTCAAGATTTCAGAAATATTAGGAATGAAATCTACTACTTGAACATTTTAGTTAGGAACTTATTGACACTGTACTAAAGGTTGTACACAGATTGTTTAAGCCATTTATGATTCCAGGATATTGCTTACACCATTTCCCTTTTAACAATCATTTTATATCACAACCAGTTAGAGAATTGATGTGTCACGTTTCCACCACTATACTGGAATTTTCTTCAGATGAATATTTAGCCTGAGACACATTGTACAAGATGTAAATGAAATCACCGGCCTTTTCTTTGGCTGAAGTATATTCTGTGGTACACAGAATGGAAAGTAGTGTGATGAAACAGTGGAAACATGGATGACAATTAGGTGATAACATGTATTATCCCATGAAAAGTATTTTAGCAATGTATTGTAAGAAAACTTGGTCATAGATGTGTTAGAGTGTAAGGTCCCCCCTCATCCCTGTTAAGTACTGGCCTGCTGCAGTATATATACAGTGGACTTCCTTGATTTGCCACAAGAAAAGGTTGTAATCCCTATCTTCTTCTTTGGAATTGATTGTTGTGATATGAAGCAGTGATATTCTAGCTGACCATATCATGCAGCTGGTTGGGGGTACCTGTTTGTGGAAGAAGAGGCAGGGAGAGGGGAAGAGACAAAACATCTCTACCTGCCTCTAGATCATGTGGTGGGCTTATTACTAGATAACAGGACAATGAAATGACATTTGTTGGTGTTGCATATTACCACTGGAATGATATATAGACACATGGATTCAAAATATAGTCCCAGAAAGATTTCATTGCATAGCACTATCTGGCGGAGTCAAAGTGTTGGACCATGTGGAGTGTAAAGATCAGCTGTATCATTAAGAGTTATGAAGGTCAAAAATTCAACTGTGATACAGTGTAGCTAGCTACTCTTTCTCGTATGATCAAAATTGATCACTGTTATACATCATTCTCACATTCTCAAGTAGGAAGCTGTACAGACTACATTACCCAAAAGAAAACACATATATGTATATATGTATCAGTTTTGGTTTAGGTAAAAAAGATCCTGAAAATTTCCAAAATTCGAACTTATCTGGTTTGGTGGTTCCAGATCATTCTTTCCTTGGGAAATCACTACTTGACAAAGCCTTAGTTAAGGTTGTCAGGTATCTGTTTTTTTTTTAATTTGAAGGAAGTAAAGTTTTATCTAATATTTATTCTCATTTGTTAACAAAGGTGATGATTATTGGAAAGTAAAAAGAATGATTTAAGAAAGATGTTTTATATTTAATGATACAGGCTTACACATAGATGATTTGAAAGGGCAGAAACATATTTTTCTGACCATTAAATACACTGGTTATGTTTGGTCATACATTGTTCACATATGGTGATGTTATGATGGAATGGTGGAATCAAACTGGCAAAATTATCCAGTTTATCAGCTGATTGCCAGTTGGTAAAGAGTTTCTGACAGTGTATCATGGATGAAAGTTTTTTGTCCAAACAGCAGAATGTTGTTGGTGTGGCCTGGCTTCAAAGTTTAAATTTTGGGAGCGGGATTTAATCATTTTATATAAAATCAAGCATGAGACTTTTCTAGTGCATGATGGGAATATATCAAATTTATCTGGTTCTTTTTCAGCATGTTGTGATTTCCTTCCCTTTCTCCACACTGAACACTATGCATGTTTTGTGCTTTTTCTTGCCTGGATCAGTACAGCTTTTCATTCCAGTATCTAGTCCATCCATCTTATAGTGGGAAGGGTTATAGTTCACATATCATAGTTACCATGGAAACTTTAGAACCCATAACAACAAAAGAGTAGGTAACCATAGTAACCCTAATTTAGTAAATACCCAATAAGGTGAAAGGTTTCAATTCAATAACCCAAGTAACAAAAAGCTTAAGGAGCCTGAGTTAGAGTCAAGGAAGATGGCGATGTTTCAGTCGGAGACCTACGAGGGGATACAGACGCAGAGATAGGATGGACCTAGCAGGGCAGTCATCATCACGACGACCGCGAGACAGGATAGGAATGCTCCATCACCCCCCAGTTGGTCATCAGTTTGGTATCTTCCAAATGGGATTGCCTCTCAACTTTGGATTTTCCTCTGTGTTTGACGATCCATTTGGACACTTTCATAGACCTGCGGGGTAAACTTTTTCTAGATAGAATATTGTTGTATTATAATCAGGTATTTAGCCTTGCTCCGACAATCCCAACCAATTTCTTCTGGTCTCTGAACCCAGTGGTGGATGTCCTGATCAGTCTGTATTGATACATCGTGACCTAAATACTCTCCCAACACATACAACTCTTTCATGAACTTCACCAAGTACACATCTCATTAAAAGATATCTTCATGCTTTCTGAAAACTATGTATGTTTTCTTCAGTTCAAAAATTTAAATTCAGTAGAAGTGGGCAAGACTGAAGTGCATATGGCCATTTCAGCTAACTGCTAGCAATATTCCTGTTACCTTCATGATATTAGTACAGAGAAAGCATCAGATACCTTTCTAGTGATGTAATTGATAGTATCACATATAGTAGTCATTGACCACATACTTCAGCTGAATGCTTGATAAATAGTACATTTGTAGATATACTATTCAAAGTCTTAACTTGTTCAGGAAACTTCAATGGTTACACAAGATATTTCTGTCAGTAGGGCTGAAAATGTAGATAGTTGTGTATTTGTTTTAGACAGATTCTTTGTACTCGCTGTTGCATGCTATTAAAATTCACACGCTCCATATTTGGTTTTCTTTCAGGAAAACTTTTTTGACAAATCAAACACCATTTTGTGTAATTTAGCTGAATTTGTTTTGGAAATATTAAAAAAAAATAAATAAACCTGTGAATTTTAAGTACATGTATTAGCCCCATGTTGATTACACTCGTAATTGTTCTATAGATATTTGCATTGGCAAGTTCATGTAGTTTAGAGTTCTTCTGATTCCATCAATAAAATGGTATATTTTATATGTCTGCATGGAATACCAAATTTCCTAGATGTACAAGTTGGAGAAATTTCAGCTGCACATTCTGTCTGGGTCAAATGTGGTCAAATAGAAACTGCTACTGTCATTTATCATATGGTTGCTGAATAGAACGGCTAACGGGTACTCCACCTTAGTCTTACAGTGGTTCTTTGACTCCTGAAGATGAGTAGCAGTAGAATTTGTAATCCTCAGTTTCTATTCCACTTTTTCTGGTACAAGGTCTTGATCCAGTTCTGTTGATACATATTGTAGATTTACGACTTGATTGTATGTTCTTGTTTAAAATTTCCTCAGATGTGGCACTGAATAAGGCTACAAGGACATTAAAGCCCAACAACGAAAAGAAAATAAACTTCCTTCTATATATAAGTAATGAAAGTTTGTAGGGCTAATCATGTTTAATTACAATTTTTAGCAATGGATAAAGATTGAGTTGTGTCCCCAATTCTGCATCATGACTTATTATTTAAAAATGATGTATAGCTGTACAGTATATAACCTACATTGCCTTCAATATTACATGTGCTAGCATGTGAAATTCTGTAGAGTTGTCTGCCCTTGTATATAAATGATCTGAGGAGGGGGCACACTTTTGAAATCTTGTTATTGTAAACAGTCCAGTTTAGTTGTGAGTTTCATATACCATTCAATTTATCAGAAACGACATCAGATTCTCAGAAGAATAAGGTGTGGTGTCAGTCATTCTTCTGAAGTCACAACAGAATTATTCCAAATGTCAATATTTACTTTATAACAGAAAAAATGTTAAAAGAAATTGACAAAGAAATATACATATACTCTCTCTACCAAATACCTTCCTGCATTCGATAGAATTAGTGACATACAACCATTAGAAATGGTGTGTGCATCTGGGGTTATCTTCCCTTTTTTGTTGATATTATGGATGTGGAATTGTGTAAGCATGGAGATGTATACCTATCACCATATATATATACCACATTGTGTCATAACGAATTACCTGTAGCTTTGCATCTACATTATACCCTATCTTGGTATGGTTGTTTGGGTGAAAAATTATTTGACACTTTGCCGTCCATATTGTGACCCTCTGGTATGGATAAATCACCCATAGGATAAAATCTAGAATCAACTTAATATTTATTAATTACATTAGATATATCAAAGTGTCCAGGCATGTACTATCATTGATATCTATATGATGATAAGTGATTGTAAACTTGACCTGGTAAGTTTGAATTATGGATTGAAATCTTTATGTTACTTTATTCTTGGTAATTTTCCACGACAAGGACATCAACTTTATCTCCAGGCTCTGGATTTCAGTTTTTAGATCCAATCTTCCCTCAATTTTAGTAAATTAGAGTGTCAATGGTTAAGGTAAATTTGAAAGAGAAAAATTCCAAACCGAAAGCCTCATTGTTAGTGAGAAGTTAAACCATATACAAGGATTGACAAAATATAGCTGTCAATTAATGTGGGTCAAAGTGTTTATTTTACAAGTAATTGTTAACTGGAATTTTTTGCATCAAATTTAAATTAATGGCTGTCAGATAGTTTGTTTACTCCCAAAGATCAGTGATGGCAATGTCTTTTGGATAACAGATTATCTCCCTTGCACCCTTTGTGGATGAGCCCATTTCTCTAAAAACCAAATTGGTTTGATCTTTAATGATCATGCACAGAAACCAAATAGTTTATGTATTCAGATGAATACTATTTTGGAATATTTTTTAAAGGGGAAGGGTGGTGGGTACATGATGGTGAATTTAGGAAAATAAAAGCTATTTTGTCAGTATTGGTGCTGTGGTAGATCACATTCAAAATTCACAACTTTTTCAAAATGTAAAGTTTTTGATAGACTTTATTTCATTAAGTAGTGATCAATTACTAACATTGACTTATATCTGATATCAAGTACTTCATACATGGATATATTCTAGATATCACTGTTACAGTATATGTACAGTAGGGAGACCTGTATTAGATATCACTGTCACAGTATATGTACAGTAGGGAGACCTGTATTCTAGATATCACTGTCACAGTATATGTACAGTAGGGAGACCTGTATTAGATATCACTGTCACAGTATATGTACAGTAGGGAGACCTGTATTAGATATCACTGTCACAGTATATGTACAGTAGGGAGACCTGTATTCTAGATATCACTGTCACAGTATATGTACAGTAGGGAGACCTGTATTAGATATCACTGTCACAGTAAATGTACAGTAGGGAGACCTGTATTAGATATCACTGTCACAGTATATGTACAGTAGGGAGACCTGTATTCTAGATATCACTGTCACAGTATATGTACAGTAGGGAGACCTGTATTCTAGATATCACTGTCACAGTATATGTACAGTAGGGAGACCTGTATTCTAGATATCACTGTCACAGTATATGTACAGTAGGGAGACCTGTATTCTAGATATCACTGTCACAGTATATGTACAGTAGGGAGACCTGTATTCTAGATATCACTGTCACAGTATATGTACAGTAGGGAGACCTGTATTCTAGATATCACTGTCACAGTATATGTACAGTAGGGAGACCTGTATTAGATATCACTGTCACAGTATATGTACAGAAGGGAGACCTGTATTCTAGATATCACTGTCACTGTAAATGTACAGTAGGGAGACCTGTATTCTAGATATCACTGTCACAGTATATGTACAGTAGGGAGACCTGTATTCTAGATATCACTGTCACAGTATATGTACAGTAGGGAGACTTGTATTCTAGATATCACTGTCACAGTATATGTACAGTAGGGAGACCTGTATTAGATATCACTGTCACAGTATATGTACAGTAGGGAGACCTGTATTCTAGATATCACTGTCACAGTATATGTACAGTAGGGAGACCTGTATTCTAGATATCACTGTCACAGTATATGTACAGTAGGGAGACCTGTATTAGATATCACTGTCACAGTATATGTACAGTAGGGAGACCTGTATTCTAGATATCACTGTCACAGTATATGTACAGTAGGGAGACCTGTATTCTAGATATCACTGTCACAGTATATGTACAGTAGGGAGACCTGTATTCTAGATATCACTGTCACAGTATATGTACAGTAGGGAGACCTGTATTAGATATCACTGTCACAGTATATGTACAGTAGGGAGACCTGTATTCTAGATATCACTGTCACAGTATATGTACAGTAGGGAGACCTGTATTCTAGATATCACTGTCACAGTATATGTACAGTAGGGAGACCTGTATTCTAGATATCACTGTCACAGTATATGTACAGTAGGGAGACCTGTATTAGATATCACTGTCACAGTATATGTACAGTAGGGAGACCTGTATTCTAGATATCACTGTCACAGTATATGTACAGTAGGGAGACCTGTATTCTAGATATCACTGTCACAGTATATGTACAGTAGGGAGACCTGTATTCTAGATATCACTGTCACAGTATATGTACAGTAGGGAGACCTGTATTCTAGATATCACTGTCACAGTATATGTACAATAGGGAGACCACTGACTTTACTTAACCATTCTAACATATATAGATTTTGATTTAAATGTGCAGACTTTTTATCACAAAATACATTATTATTGAAAGAAGTATACATTATTGCTGAAAAAGTGGATACAAATAAACGTACACCGTCTATATAAACGGTGTACTTGTGATGAAATATAACATGGACGATGTTCCATTGACAACTGTTTATATTATTCAGGGAAATTTTTACTTAGTGTGATGTAGTACCCAAGGAAGGAGTATTCAGTAAGATGTACCCAAGATACATCTGAGTATTCAATAAAATGGTATACCCTAGGTACATCTTAATATTCAGTAAAATATTTCTAAAAATGCAGTTAGAACATCACATGTGGAATTTATACACATATACATATTTCTTTTAAATTTTTAAACTTTAAAATTCTTGCTTGTAATCATGTTGAATATGTACAGATCATTGCTTGTAAACAGCTTTAGGTCATTCCAGGAATAGAAAAGTTGTGTGTAGTTTGTTGGGTCGTGTTATCACTAATCTGGTCCAACATTCTTGTATTTCAGATTTTTTCAAACAAGCACATCTTTTAGTGGGCCAAGTGGCCATGGTGGCCATGGCAACAACTTCAGGTCAACTTCAACATCAACAAAATATGTCAACGGCAAAAAAGTGGTCACGAAAAAGTAAGTTTACTCGAGTAAACATATTGATATCATTTCCCTGTAAACATATTGATATCGTTTCCCTGTAAGCATATTGATACCATTTCCCTGTAAACATATTGATATCATTTCCCTGTAAACATATTGATACCATTTTCCTGTAAACATATTGATATCATTTCCCTGTAAACATATTGATATCATTTCCCTGTAAACATATTGATACCATTTTCCTGTAAACATATTGATATGATTTCCCTGTAAACATATTGATACCATTTTCCTGTAAACATATTGATATCATTTCCCTGTAAACATATTGATACCATTTTCCTGTAAACATATTGATATCATTTTCCTGTAAACATATTGATATGATTTCCCTGTAAACATATTGATACCATTTTCCTGTAAACATATTGATACCATTTTCCTGTAAACATATTGATATCATTTCCCTGTAAACATTTCCATTGACACAAATTTAAACTCATAAGAAACAAGAGATGTTATTTAAAGTATGATAGTGTGGGCAAAGAACCATTGACAGATCTAATGACTGATCCACTTAATAATTTACAGTCAAATGACTGATCCACTAAATAATTTACAGTCAAATGACTGATCCACTGAATAATTTACAGTGAAATGGCTGATCCACTAAATAATTTACAGTCAAATGACTGATCCACTAAATAATTTACAGTGAAATGACTGATCCACTAAATAATTTACAGTCAAATGACTGATCCACTAAATAATTTACAGTGAAATGACTGATCCACTAAATAATTTACAGTGAAATGACTGATCCACTAAATAATTTACAGTCAAATGACTGATCCACTAAATAATTTACAGTGAAATGGCTGATCCACTAAATAATTTACAGTCAAATGACTGATCCACTAAATAATTTACAGTGAAATGGCTGATCCACTAAATAATTTACAGTCAAATGACTGATCCACTAAATAATTTACAGTGAAATGACTGATCCACTAAATAATTTACAGTCAAATGACTGATCCACTGAATAATTTACAGTGAAATGACTGATCCACTAAATAATTTACAGTCAAATGACTGATCCACTTAATAATTTACAGTCAAATGGCTGATCCACTAAATAATTTACAGTCAAATGACTGATCCACTAAATAATTTACAGTGAAATGACTGATCCACTAAATAATTTACAGTCAAATGACTGATCCACTAAATAATTTACAGTCAAATGACTGATCCACTAAATAATTTACAGTGAAATGGCTGATCCACTAAATAATTTACAGTGAAATGACTGATCCACTAAATAATTTACAGTCAAATGACTGATCCACTAAATAATTTACAGTCAAATGACTGATCCACTAAATAATTTACAGTGAAATGACTGATCCACTAAATAATTTACAGTCAAATGACTGATCCACTAAATAATTTACAGTCAAATGACTGATCCACTAAATAATTTACAGTGAAATGACTGATCCACTAAATAATTTACAGTGAAATGACTGATCCACTAAATAATTTACATTGAAATGACTGATCCACTAAATAATTTACAGTCAAATGACTGATCCACTAAATAATTTACAGTCAAATGACTGATCCACTAAATAATTTACAGTGAAATGACTGATCCACTAAATAATTTACAGTGAAATGACTGATCCACTAAATAATTTACAGTCAAATGACTGATCCACTAAATAATTTACATTGAAATGACTGATCCACTTAATAATTTACAGTGAAATGACTGATCCACTAAATAATTTACAGTGAAATGACTGATCCACTAAATAATTTACAGTGAAATGACTGATCCACTAAATAATTTACATTGAAATGGCTGATCCACTAAATAATTTACAGTGAAATGACTGATCCACTAAATAATTTACAATGAAATGGCTGATCCACTAAATAATTTACAGTGAAATGGCTGATCCACTAAACAATTTACAGTGAAATGACTGATCCACTGAATAATTTACAGTCAAATGGCAGATCCATTGAATAATTTACAATGAAATGGCTGATCCACTTAATAATTTACAGTCAAATGACTGATCCACTAAATAATTTACAGTGAAATGACTGATCCACTAAATAATTTACAGTCAAATGACTGATCCACTAAACAATTTACAGTGAAATGGCTGATCCACTAAACAATTTACAGTGAAATGACTGATCCACTAAACAATCTACAGTGAAATGGCTGATACACTGAATAATTTACAGTCAAATGACTGATCCACTAAACAATTTACAGTGAAATGACTGATCCACTAAACAATTTACAGTCAAATGACTGATCCACTTAATAATTTACAATGAAATGGCTGATCCACTTAATAATTTACAGTCAAATGACTGATCCACTAAATAATTTACAGTCAAATGGCTGATCCACTAAATAATTTACAGTCAAATGACTGATCCACTTAATAATTTACAATGAAATGGCTGATCCACTTAATAATTTACAGTCAAATGACTGATCCACTAAATAATTTACAGTCAAATGGCTGATCCACTGAATAATTTACAGTCAAATGGCTGATCCACTGAATAATTTACAGTCAAATGGCTGATCCACTGAATAATTTACAGTCAAATGGCTGATCCACTGAATAATTTACAGTCAAATGACTGATCCACTGAATAATTTACAGTCAAATGACTGATCCACTGAATAATTTACAGTCAAATGGCTGATCCACTGAATAATTTACAGTCAAATGACTGATCCACTGAATAATTTACAGTCAAACGGCTGATCCACTGAATAATTTACAGTCAAATGGCTGATCCACAAGGTAGTCTGTCAGGGGGTACATACAGGGATGTTGATTCTGTAACAGGTAGCCTGTCAGGGGGTACATACAGGGATGTTTATTCTGTAACAGGTAGCCTGTCAGGGGGTACATACAGGGATGTTGATTCTATCTGTCACTTTATTTGTTTGTAGAGTTATAGAACAGGGAAAGGAGACGGTGACAGTGGAAGAAGACGGTGTGATCAAATCACATGTAGTGAATGGTGAGCCACAGATGTTGGGTTTCTGAGTGGCTAAAGGGACCATGCCTCAGCACGCCGTAGTGGCGTGTGCTCATATGTTGACGATGGAGGAGACTAGAGCCTTCTGTGTTACACTTGAACATATTACTGTAATATTATATATATTTATATCAATTTCTAGGTATCTTCATTGAAGACCCTAGATCTCTCATTTGGAACATACTGTTAAGTGATTTCTCTTAGGGTGGTCGTGCACTTCGATGGAAGATTAATCTCCTGATGTTGATAATGCTTTCTCAAACACACTTCTAGATTTTAGTTTTCAAATTATACAGAAACTCTTTGCAAATATCTTTAAATATCTAAATTATTTTCATTCAAAGCCTTACCAGTAAGTATGGATATTTGAGGCTTGTTTACATGTATTTAAACTCTGAAAAGTCCCATGGCCTTGATTTAATTTACAAATACCACTACACTTCTTCTGTCAAAGTGCTTGGCTAGTGTAGACCTTTTAATGACTGTGTATGATGATGTAAACATCACATATTAATGAAGGGTCTCACTAGATAGCTTTTACTTTATGTACTTTTTAAACATTGTAGACACCGATTCTTGTTATACAAGGTATCTTAAGAAATAGGATTAAGTGAGGAACCATTTGGTGTATATATATATATTATAACTAAGGTTCAATTGTTATATTAATCCAAATGGGATTTTTAGGGTTTTTCTCATGGTGTTTTATGATATTAAACAGCTTGTGTCATTCGAGCCGCATATCTCATAGGTTGTGATTCATGCTACAATACAATATTTGAAAATCACTGGAGCGCATTTATGACATCATGATAACCAATCACTGTTTAGTTTTGATTCTGTTACCCTCCACCCGACAATATTTAGATGTTTTGCTTTAGTTCTTTATAACAGTGTCTGTGCACTTACTTGTACTCGCAGGTTATTTAATATCATTGCTGTTTGTATATTTTTTTGTTCCTACTTCAGTGAAAATTCGACTTTGAAGTTACAGATGTTTGCCAACTGTACTGTATAATAAACATGCTGCCACTGTTTCCCAAGCACTTTATATCGGAACTGAAATTTACACATCTTTTTTTTTCACACAATAAATTATTGTGATCACAGTAAAGCGAAAATATCATCCCTGCGAAAGTAAGCGGCTTTACAGTATACAAATTGGAAACTTGATAATGCAGTATAGATAATACACTAAGTATTCACTATTGTTATTTTTCAAAGTAATATTATTCTGAAGAATGTCTGCATTATGCAAAAGAAAAGGTAATCTTCTTTGAATGTTATTTGTGTTTAGCTCCAGATAATATAAGTTTAAAAGAAAGTAATTTAGATGTATAATTTTGTATAAAGTGCCCTCTGTCAAATTACAATAGTTCCTATTGTGAATTGAAGTATACAGAATAATTTGTTGATATAAATGTTATCTGTTGTTGATTTGGTTTAATTTTTTATCACATGATGCTTTACAAGTTTTTACTGACATAGTAAAATAAATTGTAATTTTCAATTATTGAAAAAAAAAATTTCTTCATCAAACAGTGGTAAAGATTTTTGCTTGAAAAAAAAAATTAATACCAACAAAATTTCCAAAATAGAATTATTTTCTATTCAACAGTGATTCAATTTATCTAAGACCAGATTTCAGATGAATCAGGTTCAATCCATCATACTTTTGATATATATAACTGAATTATACTAGCCCCTCCTCCCCTATTTATCATTGTGTTATTTTAGTTTGAATATAGTGTTTAGATGTAATGGAGAAAGACAACTTTCCTTAACTTTTTTGTGCCATCATTGTTATATGAATTGTGCATGCTTAAAAATGTATGAATATGAAAATGGACTGTCCCAGTTTTGTCAGCTGGAAGTTCCATGGGGATAAATACAAGTTCCTATAGAAAATACTTGTGTCAAAGCAATCATGGTTTTACACAGTGGACTCTTCCCCTGAGGAATGGACTATAGAAAACTCATTTACTCTTGTTCTTACAGCTTAATGTATTTGTAAAAATTTGTGAATCTGAGATAGTGTGAAAGGTACTGTAAGAACACTGCTATGGAAGTATATACTATCATACTCTTACACTTTCTTTAGTTGGTATTTTGAGAGGAAACTTATTATTCAACAGAATCAAACAATTGTTATGTTGTAATGAATTTTTTTTGGAGTTTTTTGTTTCCCTAGCACACAACATGTTGGGGATTTTAAAGCATCTATGACCTTCTCTCCTGAATTTTTTTTTTCAATTTTCACAGAAGTAACATTCTGAGGTTAGTGTATCTGTCAATCAGATATATAGATCTGAGTCAATGAGACTCTTGGAGCAGGTTTTCTGTTGTGATGGATTCTGTTGATCAGATTTCTGTTGCAGGTTGTCTGTGATGGTTGATGCTAGACAGTGATTCTGTCAGACTCTTGTAACAGTTTGTCTGTGATGGTTGATGCTAGACAGTGAATCTTTCAGACTCTTGTAACAGTTTGTCTGTGATGGTTGATGCTAGACAGTGAATCTTTCAGACTATTGTAACAGTTTGTCTGTGATGGTTGATGCTAGACAGTGAATCTGTCAGACTATTGTAACAGTTTGTCTGTGATGGTTGATGCTAGACAGTGAATCTTTCAGACTATTGTAACAGTTTGTCTGTGATGGTTGATGCTAGACAGTGAATCTTTCAGACTCCTGTAACAGTTTGTCTGTGATGGTTGATGCTAGACAGTGATTCTGTCAGACTCCTGTAACAGTTTGTCTGTGATGGTTGATGCTAGACAGTGAATCTGTCAGACTATTGTAACAGTTTGTCTGTGATGGTTGATGCTAGACAGTGAATCTGTCAGACTATTGTAACAGTTTGTCTGTGATGGTTGATGCTAGGCAGTGATTCTGTCAGACTATTGTAACAGTTTGTCTGTGATGGTTGATGCTAGACAGTGAATCTTTCAGACTATTGTAACAGTTTGTCTGTGATGGTTGATGCTAGGCAGTGATTCTGTCAGACTCTTGTAACAGTTTGTCTGTGATGGTTGATGCTAGACAGTGAATCTGTCAGACTATTGTAACAGTTTGTCTGTGATGGTTGATGCTAGACAGTGAATCTTTCAGACTATTGTAACAGTTTGTCTGTGATGGTTGATGCTAGACAGTGAATCTTTCAGACTATTGTAACAGTTTGTCTGTGATGGTTGATGCTAGACAGTGAATCTTTCAGACTATTGTAACAGTTTGTCTGTGATGGTTGATGCTAGACAGTGAATCTTTCAGACTCTTGTATCAGTTTGTCTGTGATGGTTGATGCTAGACAGTGAATCTGTCAGACTATTGTAACAGTTTGTCTGTGATGGTTGATGCTAGACAGTGAATCTTTCAGACTCCTGTAACAGTTTGTCTGTGATGGTTGATGCTAGGCAGTGAATCTGTCAGACTCCTGTAACAGTTTGTCTGTGATGGTTGATGCTAGACAGTGAATCTGTCAGACTCCTGTAACAGTTTGTCTGTGATGGTTGATGCTAGACAGTGAATCTGTCAGACTATTGTAACAGTTTGTCTGTGATGGTTGATGCTAGGCAGTGATTCTGTCAGACTATTGTAACAGTTTGTCTGTGATGGTTGATGCTAGACAGTGAATCTTTCAGACTATTGTAACAGTTTGTCTGTGATGGTTGATGCTAGACAGTGAATCTTTCAGACTCTTGTAACAGTTTGTCTGTGATGGTTGATGCTAGGCAGTGATTCTGTCAGACTATTGTAACAGTTTGTCTGTGATGGTTGATGCTAGACAGTGAATCTTTCAGACTCTTGTATCAGTTTGTCTGTGACGGTTGATGCTAGGCAGTGATTCTGTCAGACTTCTTTGAACAGTTTGAATATTGACATCAGTGTAACTTAATGTTGTTTATGGAGAAAGCTGTTCACATATATGTACCATTATGTACGTGTTCAAGGAAGTTACTCTCTTTCAAGCTGATTTTTTATGTGAATGTGCATTGAAACATGACTTTATCAGCCTATGCCTAACCTGCTGGACATGCAACTAAACATGAGATTTACCTCTCAGAAAACTTTCCATCTTAAAACATTGACTTTATAGATGTCTGACCAAATGACCATGTTGACCTTGATGAAGGCATGATTCATTGTTCACATACAGCTAAATATGCCAGGCTTCGCAAACTGTGTTACAGTTAGCATAAAAAAGCAGATCATTATGTGTTATGTGCTGGGTTTTCTTTATCTTGACAGGTATATTTACGTTATGGAAACAGAGTATGTACCATTGTTAACCTACATGTAGTGCAGGACAACTTGTAGTCAAATTTTAGTGAATGGGGATAATTTAGAAATCTATTTACTTTTCTGTTTTGATATCAGTGTCTGTAATATTTTTCTCTAAAGTGACTCATCTGAAGACCTATTTGATGAGATACAGATGTATGAATTTTGTTATTTCTGGAACGATGACAGCGTTACTTTGGATTTTTAATTTCATTTTGTACATGGAGTTTCTCCATACAATCTGCAAGGATTGCTAGATTGATAATTTTAAATCACCTGTAATAACATAATCACATTCATATCATGTTTGTTTATTGTGATCCTTATTTTTTCAGAATAAATGTTTTTCGTATTGTCAGTTTGTATGTATGTTCAGGTCTTGTTCTGTTATTTCAGAATAAAGAGTTGCTATGTTTTTTATGTCTATCATTTGTGTTTTTATTTAAAACTGAAAGTATACTGTAATTATCTCATATTTTTTACCTCAATTACCTGTTAAAAGTTATACCTATTTACTGTATAAAGGAATATATACAATCACCTACAGTGTATATACTTTTAGACCTATTTACTGTACAAAGAATACATTCAGTCACCGACAGTGTATTCACTTTTAGACCTATTTACTGTATAAAGGAATATATACAATCACCTACAGTGTACATACTTTTAGACCTATTTACTGTACAAAGAATACATTCAGTCACCTACAGTGTATTCACTTTTAGACCTATTTACTGTATAAAGGAATATATACAATCACCTACAGTGTATATACTTTTAAACCTATTTACTGTACAAAGAATACATTCAGTCACCTACAGTGTATTCACTTTTAGACCTATTTACTGTATAAAGGAATATATACAATCATCTACTGTGTATATACTTTTAGACCTATTTACTGTATAAAGGAATATATACAATCACCTACAGTGTATATACTTTTAGACCTATTTACTGTACAAAGAATACATTCAGTCACCTACAGTGTATTCACTTTTAGACCTATTTACTGTATAAAGGAATATATACAATCACCTACAGTGTACATACTTTTAGACCTATTTACTGTATAAAGGAATATATACAATCACCTACAGTGTATTTACTTTTAGACCTATTTACTGTATAAAGGAATATATACAATCACCTACAGTGTACATACTTTTAGACCTATTTACTGTATAAAGGAATATATACAATCACCTACAGTGTATATACTTTTAGACCTATTTACTGTACAAAGAATACATTCAGTCACCTACAGTGTATTCACTTTTAGACCTATTTACTGTATAAAGGAATATATACAATCACCTACAGTGTACATACTTTTAGACCTATTTACTGTATAAAGGAATATATACAATCACCTACAGTGTATATACTTTTAGACCAATTTACTGTACAAAGAATACATTCAGTCACCTACAGTGTATTCACTTTTAGACCTATTTACTGTATAAAGGAATATATACAATCACCTACAGTGTATATACTTTTAGACCTATTTACTGTACAAAGAATACATTCAGTCACCTACAGTGTATTTACTTTTATACCTATTTACTGTATAAAGGAATATATACAATCACCTACAGTGTACATACTTTTAGACCTATTTACTGTATAAAGGAATATATACAATCACCTACAGAGTATATACTTTTAGACCTATTTACTGTACAAAGAATACATTGTCACCTACAGTGTATTCACTTTTAGACCTATTTACTGTATAAAGGAATATATACAATCACCTACAGTGTATATACTTTTAGACCTATTTACTGTACAAAGAATACATTGTCACCTACAATGTATTCACTTTCATACCTATTTACTGTATAAAGGAATATATACAATCACCTACAGTGTATATATTTTTAGACCTATTTACTGTACAAAGAATACATTCAGTCACCTACAGTGTATTCACTTTCATACCTATTTACTGTATAAAGGAATATATACAATCACCTACAGTGTATATACTTTTAGACCTATTTACTGTACAAAGAATACATTCAGTCACCTACAGTGTATTCACTTTTAGACCTATTTACTGTATAAAGGAATATATACAATCACCTACAGTGTATATACTTTTAGACCTATTTACTGTACAAAGAATACATTCAGTCACCGACAGTGTATTCACTTTTAGACCTATTTACTGTATAAAGGAATATATACAATCACCTACAGTGTACATACTTTTAGACCTATTTACTGTACAAAGAATACATTCAGTCACCTACAGTGTATTCACTTTTAGACCTATTTACTGTATAAAGGAATATATACAATCACCTACAGTGTATATACTTTTAAACCTATTTACTGTACAAAGAATACATTCAGTCACCTACAGTGTATTCACTTTTAGACCTATTTACTGTATAAAGGAATATATACAATCATCTACTGTGTATATACTTTTAGACCTATTTACTGTATAAAGGAATATATACAATCACCTACAGTGTATATACTTTTAGACCTATTTACTGTACAAAGAATACATTCAGTCACCTACAGTGTATTCACTTTTAGACCTATTTACTGTATAAAGGAATATATACAATCACCTACAGTGTACATACTTTTAGACCTATTTACTGTATAAAGGAATATATACAATCACCTACAGTGTACATACTTTTAGACCTATTTACTGTATAAAGGAATATATACAATCACCTACAGTGTATATACTTTTAGACCAATTTACTGTACAAAGAATACATTCAGTCACCTACAGTGTATTCACTTTTAGACCTATTTACTGTATAAAGGAATATATACAATCACCTACAGTGTATATACTTTTAGACCTATTTACTGTACAAAGAATACATTCAGTCACCTACAGTGTATTTACTTTTAGACCTATTTACTGTATAAAGGAATATATACAATCACCTACAGTGTGTATACTTTTAGACCTATTTACTGTATAAAGGAATATATACAATCACCTACAGTGTATTTACTTTTAGACCTATTTACTGTACAAAGAATACATTGTCACCAACAGTGTATTCACTTTTAGACCTATTTACTCTATAAAGGAATATATACAATCACCTACAGTGTATATACTTTTAGACCTATTTACTGTACAAAGAATACATTGTCACCTACAATGTATTCACTTTCATACCTATTTACTGTATAAAGGAATATATACAATCACCTACAGTGTATATACTTTTAGACCTATTTACTGTACAAAGAATACATTCAGTCACCTACAGTGTATTCACTTTTAGACCTATTTACTGTATAAAGGAATATATACAATCACCTACAGTGTATATACTTTTAGACCTATTTATACAAAGAATACATTCAGTCACCTACAGTGTATTCACTTTTAGACCTATTTACTGTATAAAGGAATATATACAATCACCTACAGTGTATATACTTTTAGACCTATTTACTGTATAAAGGAATATATACAATCACCTACAGTGTATATACTTTTAGACCTATTTACTGTATAAAGGAATATATACAATCACCTACAGTGTATATACTTTTAGACCTATTTACTGTACAAAGAATACATTGTCACCTACAGTGTATTCACTTTTAGACCTATTTACTGTATAAAGAATATATTCAGTCACCTACAGTGTATATACTTTTAGACCTATTTACTGTATAAAAGAATACACACAATCACCTACAGTGTATTCACTTAAAGACCTATTTACTGTATAAAAGAATATATTCAGCAATTTTCTTGACCCTCTTACAAGCAAATATGAAAAAAAAGTTTCATCATTTTCATACGAAAGGGAAACTATAATAGATCCTTTGTTATACATGAACCATTCTTGTACAAATAAGGTGGTTTGTCCACATCATTTTCATTAACAAAGACGTCTTCCATCCATATTGAAGGTCAGCAAGTGTGTAACAGTGATGCATCGTAAAACACATTTTGACATTTCTGTTCAAACTACAATTATAAATGTGAATGGACTTATTACCAGATGGACTAATTATGAAATAAGTATGGTACTTTTCTACAACCAAACTTTCAAATTGTTTGAAGACTCAACATTGTATTCAGAAAAACACAGCCATCCCCCTCTCCCTCCCGAGACCTATTTAACGCCTTATGTTTATGCAAGATTGATTCCCCTTCACCCGAAATGCTTCAGACCAAATCTGGGCATATCCATTCATTCCTACTGGAGTATGATTTTAAATATTCATTCCATTTCCCCTATTGGGCCCGCCCCTCATACACCAGGGGTCAGACGCCTTATAATTATGCAAGATTGATTCCCCTTCACCTGAAATGCTTCAGACCAAATCTGGGCATATCCATTCATTCCAACTGGAGGAGGAGGATTTTTAAGAAGTTACTCAGTTTCCCCTATTTGGCTCCACCCTCCTGTTCCAGACCTGATGTTTATTATACGAGATTGATTTCCCTTCACCCAAGGATAGTTCAGACCAAATCTGGGATATATCCATTCATTCCTACTGGAGGAGGAGGATTTTTAAGAAGTTACTCTGTTTCCCCTATTTGGCTCCACCCTCCTGTTCCAGACCTTATGTTTATTATACGAGACTGATTTCCCTTCCCCAAAAATACTTTTGATGAACTGATGTTGCGCCATGGTATAAGCTCACTGGTCCTTCAAATTTGGACCAGGTGAGCTAAAAATATGACCCAGAAATAATGTCCCTAGAAGTGTATATGTGCTACACCCAAGGGTGAATTCTTACATAACAAATGATTTTATCTCTTGATGCCAAGCAATTCTATATATGGTTACAGGGTGGGAATTTCAACTGTTTCAGAGATGTAACCCAGAAATGAAATCCAGATGGAAGGGGTCACACCAAAGGACCAGTTCTTGCATCTTGATTGTGTTGATCTCTTGATTCCCAGCATTGTTATCAATAGTGATGGGGTAGGGATCTCAACTCTTTCAAATATACAATGTTTCAAAGATATAACATGGAATCCCTGAGGGTGGGGTCAGACCCCAGAACCAATTCTTATATCATGATTGTGTTCATCTCTTTATGCCCAGCAATGCTTATACATGGTTATAGGATGAGGATCTAAGCTGTTTCAAAGATATAAAACTATTCCCCTATCGAGCCCCTCCCCTCCTGCCCTAGGGGATCCAAGACCCACTATACAAAATTGATTTCCCTTCACCAAAGCATGATTCAGACAAAATTTGAACAAATTCTAATCACTCCTACAGGAGGGGTAGGATTTTATAGAACTAACGAAATTTCCCGATATGTGCCCCATCTCTCAAGCACTGGGGACTGGTACACAACATTAATACAAAATTGATTCCCCATCACCCAAAGGTGCTTCTGACCATCTGAAATCTGGACAAAATCTAACCATTCCTATAGGAGGAGTAGGATTT